AAACCAGCACACGTCTAGGACTTTGTAACTTGCTGAGGTTGTGGGGGGGAGGGAAAAACCTACCTTCTTCCGTGTGCATTTCCAGTAAATGAAGAAATTTACGAATTTAAAAAAAAATGTACGTAAGAAATGCATTATATGCAAGTTTTTTACATTATTTTACAAAGTAAATCATCAAAAAAATTAAAAAATAAATATTTATGTAATTTTTCTATAAGAGTGAAAATATAAGTACCATCATAATAAGGACATTCAGATAAATGAATAAAAAAAACTCAGTAAAGTAAGGATAAAAGAAAAACTCAGCAATTTTTTTAATTTCAAAGAAAAAAAAAATTTTTGTGACACTGTTCAAAGCATGTTGTCTTTTTAATACATGCATAGACCCACGTTGCACATTTCACATACATATCTTGTTCTATGAGGTTTCTCCCTGGTGCTACAAAATGTACACTGCCTGGATCTAAATTTTACTGGTGTATGTATATATATATGTCCAGCGTTATTTAGTTACTTTTCATCTGGAAGATGAAATTTGTGGTTTTTTTATGTTAATGGGGGGGGGGGGCTTGGTCTTTTTGGCTTTGGTACGGATCATTCGTTTCCCATTCATATTTATTTTATTCATATTTTGTCCCAAAATATTTAGAAAATATTTTTAATTTAAATAAACTCTTATGCAATTTCTATTTTTAATTATAGCAAATATACTTACATTATATTTAAACCACACGAAATAATTTATAAAATCACAATACTAGCTTGGGAAGAAAGAAAGACCTTTTTATTGAAACAGGTACATGTATTGTTTAGTAATAAAATAACTCTATAGTTTCAAAGCCCCCTATCTATATCTGTGTAAAAATAAACATTCCTATTTGAAAAGCAAGCAAACGTCATTGTGAAGAGCAGTGGTTTCAAGGCATGACCACCGAGCCTCTAGAGGATTGTGACACAATGTTCTAGTGGCTCAGTGGTTGTGCCCTGAAACCACAAAGTAAATGCCATAAATACAGATAGGTTCTTTTTTACATATGCAGTTTAATTATTGCAATTTTTTATCGTTTACGATAGAAATCATTATGTACGATGAATAACTTTTGAAATTTAAAGTTGCTTATATTAATAAAAGGAAGTTATTTTGTCTCATTTAAAATAAATTTTAAAAGGCATCCAATTTGAAGTTCTAAGCCTTAAAAAATGTATGATTCTGCAGTAATTTTGTGTTATTCAGAGGTGAAAGATCAGTAATCAATTGATTTTCACTCAAAAATTACGGAAAGAAGAGGAGAAAAAAATTCAAAAATTGTTGGCTTCAGGGTGCGACCACCGTGCGTCAAAGGGTTAATCCATTTAGCAAATAATGCTACATGAAAAGTCTTTGTCAATTCTAAATGTATTCAAGTAGTTCAATTTTCGATAAAGAGCTGACTTTAAGTGCTCCAAAAACATAGGAATGAAATGAAGCTAACTTTAGTTAACTCTGTTTAGTGGATTGGCAGGGCTGAAATATGGTGGAAGACAAACAGGTGAAAGTTTACTTCAGTTTTACTGAAGCAGGATACATTTCGTGTGACCCAAAATGTGAAGAAACAGTTGAGAATTCAATGTCCCAAATTCAGATATTGTGTGAATGCAGTTCAATATACTTTGGTCAAACTAAGAGAACCTTAAAAATTTCACACTAAAGAGCACAAGGTAATGCTAGCATAGAAGAAATACACAAATTCTCTGGTGCATAATATTGTTGGCCAAAAAATTGTATCTTTCATTTTTCTACAGCCAAAATTAGTCAAAAATCATCTGCTAGGAAATAAGATTTTGCAGAGGTATTTCACATTCATAAAAATCTTTCAGTGCTAGTTAATGATCCAAATTCCAATCCATCTTTACCTTCATTTTACATTTTACAGAAATACACAAATTCTCTGGTGCATAATATTGTTGGCCAAAAAATTGTATCTTTCATTTTTCTACAGCCAAAATTAGTCAAAAATCATCTGCTAGGAAATAAGATTTTGCAGAGGTATTTCACATTCATAAAAATCTTTCAGTGCTAGTTAATGATCCAAATTCCAATCCATCTTTACCTTCATTTTACAAGGAAATTTTTTCATAGTTGCTTTCATTTTTTTTAACAATAGATGGTGCTAGTAGCTTTGCTTCTTCCTTCCTAAAACTTTCTTGAATTTTTTGTTCTACTATCATATGAGCACACTTTTCTCCCTTGTCCTTTTCATTCCTAAGCCTGACGAAGATTTTATATTGAAATCTATGAAACTGCAAATTTATGAAAATTGTGCTGATTCAAGTTGCCTTAATATCTCCATTCCGTAATTAATCAGTGTGTTACATTGAGCTCAAATGCTATTTTAATGATACTTCTTTCCAGTTACTATTATTTCTTCTATCAGCCTTCATACTCATTAATTGGGTTTTGGCAGGTTATTTGCTAATATTTTGCTAGCATTTAGGCTTAGAGCTTGGAGCAGCTGAAGCTTGCATTACCTAGATACTGAATCTATTTGCTGCACTGTGCACATATAGACATTTGTCTCTATTGCAAGTAGCAGTGAATAAATTTTGTCTTTTACTAAGAAGTTCAGATTCAATTTTACTAAGAAGACATAATGCCATATTTTCAGTTAAGTGTTATTTTATTGTGAATGATCTTATAATGACAATTAATAAGCACAGAAGAGGCAGTTAGCACAAAATCAGGTTTACTTTTAGCAACTGCATTTAATGTTAAAATGATAGGAAAAAAAAAATCACCTGTCTTAAGTTGGAAATTCATCAGAAATGGGAATCCATAATGAACTGCTATTCTAATGATGTCTTCGGCAATATCATTTTATATTTGACAAGAACTACTACTGCAAAATACCCTGGAGTGAATGACAAACTCTTGTTAGAAAATTTGAGATGTTCAGGCAGATGGTCATTAAACTGAAAGTCAGCTAAGATGCCTCAGGTCAAAATGAAAGTCAGCTAAGATGCCTCAAGTCAAAATAAAAGTCAGCTAATACGCCTCAGGTCAAAATTAAAAGCCGTAATAGAGAAAATTATGCAAACCAGGATCATATAATAGCTAGTCAGAATGATGATAATGAGCTACAATGAAAGCAAGATTCAATAAATGAAAAAATATAAAACAGGAGAAAATCTTAATACATTACAGAAAACGAAACACCTTGCTCCCAAACTAAAACATGGCATTAACCCTCTGAGCAACACAGGTTTTTAGATCGGTCATGAAGCCCTGTATTTATGCAGTATTTAATATCAAAATTTATATATTACTTATTTTAGATTCTTATTTTCATAAATGTATATTCATTAAGATTGCATTTACATTATTAAAGAAAGTATGAAAGCAAGATATCTTAAGTTATAACCTACTATGTGTCAAGTGACAAAAAATCTCATGACCAGTTAAAGACGGTCATGCCGCTCAGAGGGTTAAAATGAAGTGCTCTTTCACCTATAACAAATAATTGAGTTACTCTTGATAATTATAATAATTACTCAGAATGATGAAAACCTGTATTGTCCTTGTGTTTAAATTCTGACATAAATTAAATTCTGCTTCTGAGTTAAGGCATATCAAAGCAAAATCATAATTTTTTTTTAATTAAAAAGCTATAAACCAGTGAAATAGTTTCATGGCAAATTTTTTAAATATGACCCAAATTATTTATACGCATTTTTTCTTGCATTTCATTTAAACTTGTTGGATTGAATTAAATCTACTTTGCCGACAGCGCATAAACCACAATAGAATAAATGCATTCTTTAAAATTCACTTTGTTTACCATAGTGACACTCTGGCGCTACTTTACAAACTTTAAGGTTTACTTAACAGTTTTATATTTCGTTCATATTATAATTCAGAATGCACAAAATTTATATCATTTAAAGAATTATCTAATCGTTTCCACATGTTCTATTCATAAACTATAATAAAGCTAGAATGATGTATAAAAGAAATTAAGCAAACAAAACAAAAAAGAAACAGTTTTTCACAGACGATTGAGTATTTCTCATTTAATTAATTCAGTTCTCACTTCGCAAGAAGGCAAAAATACATAAAAACTCAAAATATCTATATTAAAAATTACGAAGTAAATCTTAAACACTTATTTCCTCGAAAAAATTCCAGAAAGGATTAAGCATGATTTTAATTCGCAATAATAATGAAGGTGTTTTATCTGTTGTTGCGAAGCTTAGTTTCTCTAGATTGGCAACATATCCACTATTCTGCTTTTCAAATGTAAAACATCAATGGCCGCCATACACAAAAAAAGGCTTAGTGGCACTTAAGACAACTTTAAAATTGTTGATAAGTCTAAAAATATTGCATAAGATTTATTAAGGGCAAAAAACCTTAACCGGAAGATAAAAAACATAATACAATAATTCTTAAAGCAAAAAATGTACAATTTACAAACATATAAGAGTAAAGAAACTGAGATCACTGAGCTGGGTAACAAAGTGGATATATATATATATAAATATATTTACATATATTTGGTGCAGCCGATTGCAACCAAAATATGAGGTGCACATCTACATGTTATAGCAGTCCTATATACAAAATTTCAACATTCTGAGGCTACTCGTTTTTGAGTTATGCGAGATACGTACGTACATACGTTTGTACAGACGCCACAAAAAATTCGCTTCAGAATTAATTTTAAAGCAGTTTTATAATTTTTTTGAAGGAAAAGAGTATTTTATTCTGTCCTTACGTGCAGATATCACGCAAAAACATCGTTAAATTGCATTCAATAGCGGTCAAAATGGATATTTTCGTTGAAATATGCTGCCTGAAACTTTTTGCGATTACAATACTTCCTTTTTACTTCGTACAAGGAAGTAAAAACAATGAATACATTTATAAACTTACATCATCACCTAAGCTGCATACTTTCACTAAATTGAAGTTATAGGTAACACAATTCTAAAGCCATTAGTGAATAGCAAGTGTAAAAAAGACAACTTTTTAAACAAGTATATAACATTTTATTTTACTATAATAAATGCAAATATTTATTTACCATTAAAATACTTTTGCTTTTCTATACAGAACTTCAAAATTTTATAAATATAGTTTTTTATACATATTTTTCTTGTCTATAAAAATGTCTGGATGAACGGCAATGGTTTGCAACAAAATGAAAAAATGTTCAAGTCCAAATCACATTAGAGTACTTAATAAAGCTTTCAATAATTTACTTCTTTTTATCTTGTGAAGTTTAATAAGTATACTTAAATTTCATAAAGCCTGGCTTGCAGAACTCTGACTGGTATAAATCACAGCTCCAACAAAATTTACACAACCAGCCAGAACAAAAACTGGAAACCACCGTCCATGGGATTGAGTAACCAGTTCAGCAGTAACTGGACCACACAGAATACCAGGAATAGTAGCCTTTAAAAAGAAAAAAAGAATTCTTATTAACTGAATAGCATCTGGATTAAACAACAAAACTTTAAAATTTGTACTTACAATTGTATTGGAAATAGCAAAGGTAATACCCGCATGATTTGGAGCCAAATCAGTGTGGTTGCTCAAATGGCCAGCAGAATTACAGGCACATAAACCCATAGAAATGGACACTAAACTAAAAAACAAGATGAAGAAAACTTTGAACACTGAACATATAAAATTATCTTCCAGATTACTAAGTTGAATATAAATATTAAACATTAAATTTAAAAACAAATGAAGGGTCACTTACACTACTGCAGCTAACAAATTATTCACTGCATTAAAGCACAAGAGAAATACACCAGGTCCTATAAGCCCAATGCAAGTCATTAACCTTCGGACAGATAAAACAGTCCACTTCCTTGCGATTAATGAGTCAGCTAAATGACCAGACACTGAAAGCATACAATAAATAATGTGTGCACAATCAGAGAAGCAAAAGAAATTTTACACGTAAAATTTCTAATTCAGTTAAAATAAAACTTAAAGCTTTCTTTAGTTAGCTTTTAAATGCAGAAGAAAATTAGCAAACTGAATGTAAAATGGGTTTTCTACAGAGAAATAAAAATCCTCAGATGATGATGCATACAATAATATTATTTTGAAATATTATTTCCGCTAATAAAAGCTATCCAGCATTTTGCCAATAAGATGCCAAATAAAATATATATATCTTTTTAAGACCCTAATAAAAGAATTTTAACTCTTTAAGTTCTAATAAATGGCAAACTGCATTGGATATTTGGAGACAAATGGCAAGGTATGCATTCCACAACTTCCTTGACATAATTTGGAGAAACTGTGAGCCATGCCTTTGATTTCTTTTACTGCATAATTTGTTGATGGTATACCAGCAGCTAACATTGCTTCTTTAGTTGTATTCATGTAATTTTCAGACGGATTGCTCTCTGGCAAATAAGATCAATTAGGCCTCTTGTAAGTCAGGTAACTCCTTATCTAACCATATCTAGGTTTCAATGAATCTAGGCTAGGGAAGCATTATTTCATCATCAAGGTTAAGAATGCCTATGGCCATGTAATATTCAGCATATAATCACCTATAGGCCAGTGTTAGCCAAGCTGATGAAGAAATTGAACCTCATGCTGCATTAAATTTATTATTTGTTTTTTCTAGTAACAAAGTCTGCTGTTATCTTGATTAGCTTAAAATTTTTATTTTTTTTTATTATTTGTCTATGGGGTTGGATGACTGGTTAGGCAATGAAAGACAATTTTAAAAGCAGCATATTTAAGTCTGAAGTTCTGTTGCTGATTTTTGGAAATTCTTTAGTCAGCATTCTAGTATTCACAGTATACTTTTGATAGCATAGCCAAAGAGCATTCTAATGTCTATAACATTTAAGAGATCCCAAGACTTATATACAGTAAATATGATTTGCCCTCTTTCATGTTAAAATTAGGCTGAAACCATTATCAAGTTCTAATTAAACAGCAGTCTTTTTGGTTTTATGGTATACAGCACTTTAAAAGTGCTTTCATAAAACTGAACTAACAGGCTAAAAATAAAGAATTATAATTTAATATAAAGTGTATAACTAATTTAAACTGAGAAGGAAATAAACCTAAATTAAGAATAGGAAGAGAAGTAGAAGATCTATTTATAGTACAAGAAAGTATATAAGGTTAAGACACACTTCTGAATCAGTATATAAGGTTAATTGTGTTACCCTCCTTTGAGAATTTATGAAAGGATTGGTTTTATATTACAAAGCCTAATCAAATCTAACTATTCTGTCTAAACCCTCATCATCACTTTTACCTGGTCACGAAATTTAGTGTCACTCAGTACACATAAAATAGTTACTTCAAATACTCTGTTTTCTTATATTCTTTGATGATGAAAATGTTATCTTAAGGAATGAAAGATTATGAAAACAAACAGTAAAATAAGTAATTATACAAAACTAACTAATAAATGTTGCTTAAATACAGCTTTTCATCAATAACATCTGAGAGCCTTGCTGCTCAGAGCATTATGAAACTACCAATGTTCAGTTTTTTGCAGGACTACATACTGATTTTTGTAGTGTAATTGAGTAAAACAATCAGATAAAAAGAAAATGTCATAAATGAATGGTCTTAAACGTATTTGTGGACCACATAAAATTGCTTTGAGGGCTGCTAGTCTGAGATCACAGTCATACATTTATCAAGTATTAGAGTTACAAGATTTAATCATTATTTAGCATGGATAGCAAATAAAAATGATTAATGCATTTCAGAAGAGACATTTACCTTCAGCAAAAAGAATTCTTTTACTTCTGAAAATAAAAAAAGGTATTTTTCAGCCTCTTCAAATGCAATAAATCTTTCAAAATGTTATTAATACCAAATGAAAAAAAGAATATATCTAATTATAGATATTAAATTTAGTGTGCTATTCCTGCATATGACAGGATTTTTTTCTTTTCAAATGCTTTCTTTAACCACTTGCGCTAAAAAGACGTGCCTCGCACATCGAGATGCTTTTTTCTCAAACCGAATGATGAAAAATGAAAATAACTCAAATGTCTGAAAAATGAAAATAATGTGGTGCACATGTCGCCTAACAACGAGATTGTTTATTTCTCGAGTTACAGCTCTGGATTGCACTCACAGACGCGGAGCGGCATAAATGAGACATTTACCACTCATTATATTGTAGCGCATGGCACCGCAACCGTAAAGTTTAGTCGTAGCGCAAGTGGTTAACTTACATATCATTACAGGAAAAATATAAAAGCCAAGCAAGTAACTCACCTACTCCACAAAGGGAGTTTATTAAGTAAGGCATAGCAGTTAAACTGATATCTTCCTTATCAGCACCAAGATTCCGAGATAAGTATGTTGGTAACCACTGCATAATAATGTAATTTGACCAATTCATTGCAAAGTGGGCCACATAGATAGCCCATAATGACCAGTGACTGATGAATTCAATCCATCTCACATTAATGTTAGTCACCTGAAAGAAGAAGTTTAATTTTCAATTATAATAAAGTAGTTTTGGATTATGGATTACAAAATGCATAATCTCAAACATGAATAAAACATGGATTCAGATAGCAATACATCTCAACTAGTGTGCAATGACAGTTCTGGAAGTGTACCATGAATAATCACTAAGCTCTGAACAAATTACTTACCAGCTTGTGGGGGGATAGTACTGGAGGGCTAGACCACAGAGCTTCGAGAAGTAAACATTCCCCAAAGCAAATGTAGCTCTGTCAGACCAAGACAGATTTTGTAAGCTTATTTTACCAGGTCAATTCATTCATGCTCAGCACTTTTCTGTGCATGGGTGAAATAACTTTAGAAATCAATTAACCCATATGCCTGCAAAACATTTTTGGCAGCCACTTTGCCAATCTTAGACTATGTTGTCTGAAACTTGGAAATATTTAAGTATTCATCAAATTTACAAATGGATCTTACAATGATCACCAGAATTAAGCTGATTCTCTTTCTACAAGGTAAGTTTTCTTTTTAATTTGAGTACTTTTTCTTTTAAAAATTAATGGAATACTATACAGTATATAAGTTTTTATTCTTAAGCTTTAGAAATATATTGACTCTTTTATCATATAACACAGCAGATAAGATTTTCATTCTCAAATTTACTTAATATATCAACTTCATACTATCGTATAATTTAGAAATAAAATACTACTTTTGAATACATTATCAGATATCCTAATGAATTTAACTTAACTACAGGGAACAGACAGCTCATATGAGAAATGACTTTTAATGTTGTCATACCACTGAAAACTTGCACTGCTTGAAACATAAATCACATTAAATAAGTTGGCCATTTTCTATGCTGTAAAAAAAATTTGCTAGCGAATAGATTTTCTGAAATAGAATAAGTTACAACAACATTTTTCAAACCTTGATGCAAGAACAAAAGATATTTCCATATTTAAAAATCTATCTGATTGCACAATTGAGGAATTTATATATATAAATATGCATGTGCATGTTTACAGTATAGTACTACAGTACAATGCAGAAATATTCCATACTGCTTTGCACAGAAATACATGTGCCAACCAAGTATTGGTCTTTCAAAAAAATATCTCTAGACCATTTCATTATTTTTCTTTTTTTAACCTTCTTCCGTTGCGTCTTGGCTTACAAGAAGGGCAGATTAAAAGAGCATTCTGTTGAACCAGTAAAACTTTGTGGTGAGCTGAAAAAGCCGTGACACAAAATAACAAAAACGAGCAGAGAGAGCGTGAGCTAAAAAACAGCGCGCGAAAGGTGTAGACACATCCATGCATGCGCAATTTAGCTTTTCTCGCTTCTCTCATTGGCCACAGCTTAGACCCCCGTCTCGCAGGTGTGAACGGATGTCCCGTATTTTATGCCCTTATGACTATGCCTCTATGCGCTTTGCGCCCACATCTGAACGCAGCTTAACATACCATTTTTTATCAGGTTTTCTTATGATGATAAACAAGATAAAAGTTTCTACTACAGAAATAATATAGATAATAAGGAACATATATCTAATGAGGCATGCACTGATGTTTTAAGAGAGGTGTGCATTCATGATGATTGCATAATCTTCTAAATCTTCCAAGATAGAAAGTTTTACTCTCCATTAATTACCTAGTCAAAGCAAGAAAAATTTAAGAGAAATGAAAAATATTATCTTCATCAGAAAAATTTAGAAATCACTACATAACACAAACTTACTGAAATATAAACGCGTTTCAGAGAAAAATAATTCTCATTCAGTTATAAATTAATGTGTATTATAATATGGCCTTCAACCATCTGAAATCTTTATGTAGACCTAAAAAGAAAGGACAGATTTGTCTTCTGGAATTCCATAGACCCCAAACTAATCCAGCTCAACAGGTTTCTCCAAATTACAGAAGATTCTGTAGACAGGAATTTTCAAAGAACTAGCCCATGAAAATGGATTACTCAGGAATTTTGGTGGCAGAAAATGTTGTTATACAAACCAATCAAAATAAAGCACTCAAGAGGCTGAAATACAAGATTTTATAATTTTGAATTAGAATGAAAGTAATCTAGAAAAATAAACCTAATATATATATATATATATATATATATATAATATATATATATATATATATATATATATTAGAAAGCAATATATTAGGATAAAAATAAAATGAAAGATGCTATCAAGAAGATGAATACAATTTTCAGAAGCAATATGTTAAGAAAAATGAAATGTTAGTTAGAGTGCATACTATTTCTGTGAAACATAAATATGATAATTTTCTTCTTGGTGGTGAGCTGCACCTAAAGAAATAAGTTATCTGATATCAGAAGACATCTATGCATCACAGTGTACCAAACGGATCTTATTTTATAGGTCAAAGATTTTATTTTCAACAAGACAGTATCCTAAAACACATTCCAAAACTTTTAAATAACCCTGAAATTTACTCATCTCTCCAAAGTCTAGACGCCTAGTTAGAGTGATGGAACACTGCATGAAGATTTTGAAAATCCAAAATTACCTAAGCTCTAGAAATATTAAAGATCATAAAAAATATCACTGCTATTAAATTCTAATAAATTTTGCTGATGCAACACACTTTTTTCATATGAGTTACAGACTGAAAATTTAATACATTAAAATAAACTTATTACTGACAAAAGTTACTATTATATAATGATGTCTGGATCATTGAAAACAAAATCATTTTTGAAAAAATACTCTCATTTGGGTGTCTGGAAAGAAATAAGAATATATGGACACATTTTATGAAAGTTTACTGATCTATGGTTAAAGTGGAAAAAAACCTCAAAGAACCTAGAGGAAAAAGATCTTCAAGAGAAAGTTTACAAAATCAGCATCCTCAGTATGAAACAAATTGAAATCTGCAAGTAAAGTAAAATTAATTTTGTACAAAAATACAGGTTTTTCTGCTAATATTTCAACATAAATATTAATGATATTTAAATTAAATGAATAAGCACTGTTTTAGTAATACGGTGTACGTCTTTAATTATTCTTTATCTGATCGCAACAAATTTAGAAAAAGGAGGGAGATACTTTTTCTAATACTTTCATACAAGAAAGAATTATGCATTATGACAGCAGTAAATAAGTACAAGGAAAAAGGTTCAATATTTTGGGGGTGGGCACTCTTAGATTGTTGACTATTTCTTACTTATCTCTGCTATGAGATGGCTTTGTTAAAAGCAAAAAAGCTAACAATATATAGCTCTAACATTCACATCTTAAAGAAATAGTCAGATAACTTACTTATCACATTATCATGAGAAACTATGATAGCATCTGATATTGCTTTTCATGAACTGTGCACTTTATATTCAACTAGTATTTTAATATTTTGATCTGATTGATTCTTAAACAATATCCCCAACTGTTATTTAACAATGCACATTTTTAATGCTGCTGCAAATTAATTGAAATGATTGTTGAGCTAAAAGATAGTTTCCCAAAATAATTCAGGCCCACCAGTGGCCGAGCGATAAAAAGACTCTGAACACTGGTAGTTTGGTCCGAGTTTTGAATCCCATGAATGGGCTGGCTACATGGCCATTTTCATGGGTTTTTTCCCCCATGTGCAACATATATACGAGTAAGTTTCCCTTAGAAAGTTCTCACGAAGACATCCCTCCCTTTAGGCAGATAGCCCTCGTGTGCTTTGCCATAACTGAATAATCCAATCTCAAAACAATTCTCTTGAATGTACAGTTCTTCATTTAAAAAAGAAAAGAAAGAAAAAGGAGTTAAAAAGAAAAAAACTGACTTAAAATTTCATTCAAAACTGCACACACTAAACAAGTATCAGAATTTTATGGTTACAATAAAATCTAATGCATATATATTTTATGCTTTTGAGCATGAAAAAATCAGAAGTATTTTGAGACAGAAATACAAATTTTGCAAATGAAATGCATTACTTACAGAATATTATATCATTCAACCCAAAAAGCACAAAAATGATAAATGTGCAAAAAGATCAATTTTATTTTACATCAGCATAATTTTCAAACAAGATAATGAAACATTTTACTTTACCTTAGGAAAAACTAAAGGTAGTTCATCTTGACCATAATTTGGAATTTCAGTATAAAATACTATCCATAAGACAACCCATAAAATGCCAAGACTTCCAAATGCATAAAACATCCAAGGCCAGGGTAAATGTGGGCAAATCTATACAAAAAGAAAGGAAAATATGTTTTTTTTTTAAAAAAAAGGTTATTTGCTAAAATAATACATGGTTAATTTACTGGTGATTTCTCAAAGTTAGTTACGAAGAAACATATTAAAATTATGAGGATTAATCGCAAACACTTTCTATAATTCATATAACTGGTGATGATTTTAATTATTACTTTATCATTAACAAACACATTACATAATAATTATTCAGACTTAACATTATCACATATTGTGTGTTGTGTAATGAGACAGTATATATTCATGCACTTAAATGATTAGTCATTAAAAAAAGAGTTAATAAATAATAATTTTGTTCTTATAAGTATCATAATCCTAAAGATGAAGAATAAAGAAGATCTGCAGAGAAGATGAAGTTCTACAGAGGAAAAAAAAATCACTTTTCAAAGCAAAAGTCCTCCACAATTTGTTTACAAATCAATATGAATAGAGAAAACAATCTATTGAGTACTTCATTAAGTTAATAAAAGTTAAACTTCATAAACTACATGTAATATGAACACAAATAATATGAAAAATCTAAGCATATATCATTCGTACATACACAAGCAAACTTGGTGATCCATACAGACAAATATAAAAAAGCATGTTATTGTAAAATTTAATCTTTAAACTCGTAATTTTTAAAAGTGGTTTCTATTATGAAAATTAGATTACTTACTTAATCTTAAATCAAGGAATATAATAAAAAATGTCATGATAATTAGGGTTTGAGCAAAAAGGTTACAGGTGGAAACATTACAGGAAAAATAATGTAAAAGAGAAACATAAAACACTGTGGGAGAAAACAAAGAAAGAAAAACATTGTAGTTCTAAAATGTCATGGTAAAACACACTGTTATCGAAAATAATGTGGTTATAAACAGCAGTTTTAAAATATCCTGGCCAAAAAAAAAAAATCTATAAATCATTGCCGACATGCATTTTTCATGCTTTAAAAGTTGTAAATGTATATTAACATAATGGCTTATGAACAAAGAAAGAAATATTTTTATGCCTGTTTAATATTATTTTAATTAATTAAAAATTTAGTTGAAAATTAAGAAAGAAACTTTAGCATTCAAAAACTGAAAATGAGTACAAGATTAATGCTACGTATAGCAGTTAACAGAATTTTAAATTTATATACTCAATTACTAAAGGTCATTAATAATATCTTTATATAACTCTATTAGCAGTTTTTTATGAAAAATATATTCTAAAAAAGTATCATCAATTCTGTCACCAAATGGGTGATTTCTCACCAAATGTGGCAACCCTGCCTTCCCTTGTCATTTTATGGCAACCCCAAAACTGCTTTGCGGGGAAGCTATCTCACCGCGCCTGTAAATTATGTAACACTGCCCCCTCCCAAGGACTGCACGTCCCGGGCAGTACAACCCTTGGTCAGAAGCTAAATTCAATACAATCAAAACACTTTAAAACATACACATAACGTAACTAAAGAAGCAAATTTTTACACTCTATACAAGTTATATACACAAATTAAACACATAACAATTTTAAATTATACAAATTAAAGTTCAGAAAGAATTTCAGTCTCAGTCTTTTCATTAAAATATACCCAGGTCAAATACTTTTCCACTGCAGTTCTCAGATGCATTTCTGTTTTGCTAAATATAGTAACTAGTTATAGTTCTGTTTTGCTAAATATAGTAACCTTACTAAATATAGTATCTGTCTTTGATATGATTTAAATCAAATTCCTCATCATTATAAATATCACGAATACACATCAAATAGTTTTCTGGTTGCAATTTTCTAATTTTGACTAGGTGTAATGTATGCTTTACATGTGTGTAATGTGTAATTTATGCTTGTATGCACACATTGAAAGAAATGTTTAATAAAGTAAACAAATAAATATTAAGCTTTTTTTTTTTTTGTAAATTTTGATACCCATCATAAATCATAAATGCTCTTTATTTCATAAATTACGGTTTCATATTTTTAATTTTATAATTTCTGCATGCCATCTTACCAGATTTAAATTGATCTATAATCCGGAAAAACCGATAATCCGGAATCGCCGAAGTCCCGACGTGTCCGGATTAAAGACTTTTGACTGTACTTAACTTTGCATTTAGACATTTTTTTAAATACTTTTAAAATATAAATTTTTTTTCATTATATTTTAATCAAAATTTTTTCATTAAAGCTGAACTGCCTATTATATACGGTATGGCAACCTTGTGGCAATCATCTACCCAAGGTGAAATTTCTTAAAATGCTTAGCTATGCTATGAACGTCTGCAAACACTGCTATTGAATTTTATCTCTATAAAGTGACCATTTTCATCAAAGAACAAGTTATCTAGACGCAGGGTGTTTGCTTTACTGGCAGTACATTTTACTTAACATTACAATTCAGGTATTTTTAATTTTACTTCAAAAAATATTATTTAAATTTTGGAATATTTTTATTTGTGGCTACATCTTCTGAAACTTATCAGTATACCTATGAACACTTGTAAACAGCAGTATTAAACAATACCCCTCTGTCTTAAGAGTTGGCTCACTGAACTTTCTTATTTTACTTAGATTCCTCATATGTGTGGGGAAAAAAAATATGATAAATACAAAAAGTCACAAAATACTGGCAGAGTTCATGTCTATCAATTGAAATGACTGGTGTTATGCAATATTCCCTAAACACAAAATTAGTAGAAGCCAGTTTTATTTATAAGTTCTTCACAAAGACATCCCCCCTCTGGGTAGACAGTACTAAAGTTTTCAGCGATTATGAATAAATCCATTTCCTAAGAAAATGTAGGTGTAATTTTTTTACCTGTAGTTAACTGGAATTTTAGTTTTTCTTTCAGTTTATAATAATAAACATGTGCAAAAAGATATACTCTGAATTACCTGAATCACTGTATGATATATTATCATTTACAGTAAATTTCGAAAATGGTTTTATCTAACTGATCCACTATGACAACAAACAGACTAACTGCTTGAATGAATCCTTTAAGTCACCAATTTCATGCTACATTTTTTTTTTTTTATCTTACACTTCACAGGAAAAAAAAATTGACTTTTCTGACACTTTTCCCAGCCATAAAAACTCTACAATGTTTGCCATTGCATCTGCATGTGATACAAGCAGCAAAATGTTGCATATTAATTTATAACTTTACGAAAGATGTTTTCAAATTCTGATATACATTTTCAGAAATATTTGTCCAAAGTATAATAAATATTTTGGTTGTGATTTACATTGTTACGTTTTTCTTCTGACACCAGTTGTTACGTTATTTTCTTCCTTCACGTTCGTACGGGGTTCGTGAGGATTTGGAGAGAATAATGGCAATACTACTTGATGAAGTATCGAAACACACTTTATCGGCCAGTATTGTCAGGACAGCTCCAAAACACATTTTTACAGTCATCGATGAACTACTACAAACACGTTGACACGATCAGCGACACAGCCTCCAGGTTATCAGGCTATCACGGTGGAGACAGCTTCACTGCAAAGCACTCGAGAACAGCTCCCAACTCTGCTTGGTCGTTCTCGGAACTCCATGTACTCTCGAGATTCTCCAAGCAATGTACTTCACAATACACAAGAGTATAGCTCTCGACTCAACACAGTCTAAGACAAAACTCGACCATGCACTAAAAGGACTCTCTCGATGTACTCGACGACCAATTCAGCGCTAGACTTCGAGACACTCGCTCAATGACTATCAGCTCGCTAGACGAGGCACACACACTCACTAACTGACTGCGGACCAGCAGGGTTTATATAGCTTTCGGCTTGTGTTCGAGAACATTCTGGGCTAAACCGGTAAGAATTCGTTCCAGGAGGTTCTCCATCCATCCATGGTATATCACCAATTCTGTCACGAAATGGGCGATTTCTCACCAAATGTGGCAACCCTGCCTTCCCTTGTCATTTTATGGCAACCCCCAAACTGCTTTGCGGGGAAGCTATCTCACCGCGCCTGTAAATTATGTAACACTGCCCCCTCCCAAGGACTGCACGTCCCGGGCAGTACAACCCTTGGTCAGAAGCTAAATTCAATACAATCAAAACACTTTAAAACATACACATAACGTAACTAAAGAAGCAAATTTTTACACTCTATACAAGTTATATACACAAATTAAACACATAACAATTTTAAATTATACAAATTAAAGTTCAGAAAGAATTTCAGTCTCAGTCTTTTCATTAAAATATACCCAGGTCAAATACTTTTCCACTGCAGTTCTCAGATGCATTTCTGTTTTGCATATCAAAGTCTGAAGATTCAGTCATTTCCGACTTTTCATCCACAGGAAGATGCGAAACAGTTCGTTCACCACTCTGTAGTTCATTCGCAGCATGCATCCAGTTCACCTCGGTATTTTTAACAGATGGTACATGCTTATTTTCCTTCGTTTCCTGGGAACCAGCTCCAAATTCTACGTCAGAGTCATGAACGAAACCCGATTCTTTACAAACAGAAGCATCCTCGTTTAGATTTAAGTCCTTGTCTGCAAAATCTGCACTAGGAGATGCACACATAGTTTGCAAAGTGGGTGAATTTTCTTGCCATACTTGAGCGCACTGCTTAAGCTGCACATCAGCTGCTCCCATCTCTGCATCACATGCACTTCCAGATGATTCAACACTTGCTGCTTGCAACTTTGTCATTTCACTATCACTTTCGACGATCTTGACAGTCGCGTTTTCACTTTGTTCTATCTCTACTTCAGGCACGTGAGATTCAATATCTTCTTTCACATCTTTTATTTCTTCATGTTTTTGTTCTTTTCCTTTAATCCCGTTAAATGTTTCCTCCATCATTTCTTGATCTTTCTCAGGCGATTCATTAGCTACTTCCTTCTTTTCGTCATCCTTTGATTCTTCAGATGCCACTTCTTTCATTTCCACATCGTCCTTTATACCTCCAGTTTGTTCTGTAAGCTCCACTTTCATCTGTGGGAGTTGCTTTCGCACCATTTCATTGGCTGCCGACATTTGTTTATTCTCGTCCGGCTCTTCTCTTTAAGTTGGCCTTTCTTCTCTTCTAGTCCGGCTTTGATCTCAGCTGTCATCTCTTTATATCCAGCTTTCATCTCACCATATACGGCTTTTATCTCAGCACTTCTGGCTTTCAACTTCTCCTGTCCAGCTTCCATCTTTTCTTGGAATTCAGCAGAGGCAGTCATGAGCTGTCTTAATAGATCTTCCATCAGTCTTGCCACTGGCATTCACCCTCAAATCCCACTTCTGACACCAGTTGTTACGTTATTTTCTTCCTTCACGGTCGTACGGGGTTAGTGAGGATTTGGAGTAAATAATGACAATACTACTTGATGAAGTATCGAAACACACTTTATTGGCCAGTATTGTCAGAACAGCTCCAAAACACGTTTTTACAGTCGTCGATGAACTACTGAGATAAGGCAGGAACTTAGCATATCCGGCTTTCAACTTCTCCTGTCCAGCTTCCAACTTTTATTGGAATTCAGCAAAGGCAATCACGAGCTGTCTTAATAGATCTTCCGTTGGTCTTGTCACTGACATTCACCCTCAAATCCCACTTCTGACACCAGTTGTTACGTTATTTTCTTCCTTCATGCTCGTACGAGGTTCGTGAGGATTTGGAGTGAATAATGACAATACTACTTGATGAAATATCGAAACACACTTTATTGGCCAGCATTGTCAGGACAGCTCCAAAACCTTTTTTTACAGTTGTCGATGAACTACTACAAACACGCTAACACGATCAGCGACACAGCCTTCAGGTTATCACGGTAGAGACAGCTTCACTGGAAAGAACACGAATACAGCTCCCAACTCTGCTTGGTCATTCTTGGAACTCCACGTACTCTCGAGAATGACTCTCCACGCGATTTACTCGACGATACACAAGAGTATAGCTCTCGACTCATAAATAGTCTAAGACAAAACTCGACCATGACTCGACTAAAAAGACTGTCTCGATGCACTCACTCAATGACTTATCAGCTTGCTACACGAGGCACACACACTCACTAACTGACTGCGGACCAGCAGAGTTTATGTAGCTTGCGGCTTGTGTTCGAGAACATTCTGGGCTAAACTGGTAAGAATTCGTTCCAGAAAATTCTCCATCGGTTCATGGCATATTGCCAATTTTGTCACCAAATGGGCGATTTCTCGTCAAATGTGGCAACCCTGCCTTCCCTTGTCATTTTATGGCAACCCTAAAACTGGTTTGTTGAAGCTATCTCACCACGCCTGTACGTTTCATAACAATATAATACATTTACAGGGTTACATGCTTCTTTGGAATACTGGAGGACTCAAATTCATTCTTTTACTTCATTTTATTGCCAAAGATGTGGAACCTCCAACTCCTGCGATGTTCTTACAAGATACCAGAAAAGTCGGTGTAACCAACTTTGATAGCTTAGAGGAAAATAAGTTGAAGCACAGATCTGCATATCACACTAAAGTGAAAAGGGATATATTTAGGAAAGCCTTTTAGAGTTGAGTATTTAACACAAATGAGAAGAATGTACAAGGTAAAAAAGGAAATTATCATTTTAGGATAAATAGTGAAACTCTATCCTGAAAAGAACCACTGTGTTAGAGTAGCTCTTGTGAAAACAGCATACAATTCCTTATGTCCTGTGAGAAAGTTTCCATTGGAAGTGCAGGGAAAAGAAAAACACTTTTTTTTCCTACTAAACTTTCTTCCTTTTTCAGATTCTTATATGGCCGCTCCTTTACCTATTAATTTAGACAGAGGTACAGATGGACACTTAAAGGCAGGAACTACTTTATGCCAATCCTGTTCCAGTGATATTGACAGCAGAGTTGTGCTAGAGAGGACAGCTGAGACTATCAGACTGACAAACTGATGATCCAACTCCTGCTTGAATGAAGCCTCAACTTTCAACCAACGAAATATAAAACCAATGAAAGTGACTATTTAACTGTTCTTTTGAATTTTAAAGTTGCTTAAAACTTAAAGCGTGGAATGTCGAAAAGGACCGTAAAGAAAAATATAAACAAAAAGAACAGACATACATATTTTCATCAGATGGCGTGTGACATTAAATGCAATTTTTATTTATTATTTTGCCATTAGCATTGCCAACAATAGATGCAAGATGTTGGCTTAAGTATTTTTCAAACATCTGTTTTTTGTGTAGATATGGAGTGTTTCGTAGCTATGCTTTTCACGTTTATCATATAAGCGTTATGAGGAATTAAAGTGTTTTCTTAAAAAATAGGCTTCAAGTACCGTTCGTAAAATTATGCCCAGATTAGAACCTTTGGAGGAAAAAAGGTCAGTGGAACCTTTTTTTCTTAATTTAGAATTTTGAACTGAAATCTATAATTATATACTTATAGTTTTCATAACCCACTAAACATTTTAATGCAGTAAATACAGAGCAGCTATTAGTTACATGGTCAGGAAAAGCAATAGCGAGTTGGATACCACACAAGCAGGTATTGAATGAGAACCAAAAACACAGTCTTATTATCAGGAAGATCTATAAAAACAGAAAAGCACAGCAAGCAACAAGAGACATTTTATAGAGATAAAGGTGCTGCATCTGGTAAATCAATGTCTTTTTAGTTTGAACATTTTAGCGGATAATACAGGATGGTCATAAAAAAACTTCCCAAATATACCCTTAGCAGGGAATTTCAAGTATGCACTTGAGACTACGGTAATTTTAAAAAATAGAATTCTCTAGTTATAGCTACAGTGAAAACGTTTAGGAATTTTTAAATGGCAACCTCCACTTTTTTTCCACAAGTAATGAATGCAATTTAATATTATTATCCCATTAAGAAAGAATATTTTCTGCTTGCAATTCACATTCCAAAACAAGATCTACTCACTATTTTAACTAAAAAGTATTTTCATTTGTATAACTTTAAGCATTTTCAGCATTCTAACTTGTAGGCATTTTAGGTTTAAAAATTTTACAGGAAGCTGATAAAAGACTAAATTATAATATTGACTGTATTTAATATTTTACATTAAGCTCTCTATGCTACAGATGTGAGAGATTAACAATAAGCTTTTATAACAATTTACAGAAGATAGTTTATAATTTCATAAAGACAGAAGTTAATTACCAATGCAGCAATAGTCTGGCCAGCAGTACCACTTGCAACTAAATAGCCAAATGCTCGAGAACGTTCTTCAACAGGTATAGAACTAGCAAAAATATTAAAAACAGTTGGCAGGCCTGAAACAAAAAAAATTAGTCCTTATCAGTAAATTATTACTATATAGGTATGATATTTAAGCGTGAGTTAATACTATATCTTATTCTGTTATTCTTAAAGACTACAAGAATAAATTCTTTTAATTCAGACTATACTTCGATATGCATTTCCCAATTTTCAGACACTTCCCAAAGTTTAATTCAATTTAAAAAGATATCAAATTTACTGATACAAAATGTTACACAGACAAAATCCAGAAAGAAGAAAAGGAAGGATTCAGAAAGTTCTATGAAATATGTTTGGAAAACTACCTGGACCATTCAAATTAAGATACAGTAAAAGCCTCACTATCTAGCATTCAACTAAGCAAAAAATTTTTGAATTTTTGATTTTTTTAAACACAAAATTAAGAAAAGAGATTTGTAACTTCATTATGAAGCATGAATAGGACTACAATTCAAATCAAATCAAAAACTGTCACCAAACATAGCAATTTAGTATCATTAATGTATAAGCGTGACATGATGCTTTGGATTTACGTAAATTTGACTAATTTTAAATAAATTTGTTTAATTTTTGGAAAAACTGATATAAGTTAACTGCTATTTATCTGTTTTTCTAACCACATTTTGAAAAAAATTAAGTTGGGACTTGTCTTTAATTGAATAGTATGCAGTAGAGTATTTTCAAAATTGCAGGATTCTGGCATCAAGAAAAGTGCAACTTATAGGAAAATGGATAAATACTGGCTGTACAATACGAAAAATTATGACAAGCGATTTTAGATATTTATATATATGTCCATAACTTGTACATATTGATTATTTAGCTAAATAAAGAGCAATCTCTTCCTTCAGACTTCTGTCAAAATGATTAGCTCAAGTTTGGCAAGATCTCCACCAGTTTTCACAGGTTGATGGAATTCCGCAATCAAATATGTTTTACTTGGCATTTAAGTCAGAAATGACCCTTTTTTTCCTTCCAAATCTGAAATAATTTTGTACTTCCCATGGATTGATTGGTGGAAATTTCGGCAAGGTTGCCAATAAGCAATCGTTACAGCAGAATTATAAAAGACACAGTCATCCATAATTGCCACTAACTCATACTACTTGGCCAGTCGGCAGGATAATATGTAAGTGTACATAATTTAAATGTAGGCATTTCATATTCAAGTTGATAACAAATAAAATGACTCTTTTCATAATATTTGACCAGACATTTTTATGTGTAATCATTTGGCTTTTCTACCTCTTTTCATATGCTCAATTATCCAGAATTTTCACATATTAGACATTCAGCATTTCCCAAGCTTTCCGAATTGTTGGGCTTTTAGTGTACTTATATTAGCACAACGGTACTATTCCGTTTTGAAGACCGTAAAAAAATTACAGCGAAAATGTATGCGCAAAAGCGCCAAATCTAGCAAACGCGCCCATTTAACAGCGCGCCAAATCTAGCGTACGCGCTGAGTTAAGATTGAATAAGTTTATACAGTTCTATATTTCTTATGACGCCATTGAAATACTAGTTTAATTTTTAAATCCTTTTTTGATATCCTACGAATTTAACAATTTGGGAATTGCCCATGACGAAAAGTCTGCAATAGAATTTTGGGTAAAGTGCAGAATCACCCACTGCTTGACGTGTTTTTAAGAATTGCACATACTCGGTATCCTTGTACATATTGACCTATATTCACTTTTAAAAAAAAATCCCAGAATTGCAAAAATGGCACTGCGCACATCCGTGACTTTATCTATGTACACATCGACCTTCACTTAAGTAAAAGAAAATTGGCAAAAATACAATTGTTTTTACGCTTGTAAAAAGCAGCAAACAAATAAGTGGGCGATTCTGCTCTTTACTGAGAATTTTTTCAAAGAAAAGGCATCATTCATTATAGAAAATTGTGTTTGAAGTACCAATGAGATGAAATTATGCTTTAGCAATAACTCGGTAGCGAAATAGCGATGCAGACATCCATTCAGTTATGTTAAGCAATTTTTATATAAATTATAATAATGATCTGAAATAGTTATTTACTCTTATGCTTCCATTCAGTCACGTTTAGCTTTTCTTATGTAAATTATAATAATAAAAAAGTATTATATAAAATTAACCTTTCATCTAAATCAATCTTAAATAGTTATTTACTATTATACTATTATACTTCATATATTCTTACTATTATACTATTATACTTCATATCTTATAAAAAATATCAATCTTAAATAGTTATTTACTATTATACTTCCTTTCTTGCATTAGGGTTGCCGCAATTATTTTTTGCCACACTGGCATCAACAATAGTTTGGCGATTTTTTACGGCCCTCAAAACCGAATAGTACCAGCACAACTACTTTTACTTTAGTTATATGTTGTCAAATTCCAGAAATTATGTACATAACTTTTTTTTCAGTTTTAATGACAATATCACCATTTTTGTATTCATCTTTTCTTCTAATTCTAATTCTGAATGATTTTTAAAGCTAGATTGTGATATTTTTTTTTTTTTTTTTTTTGCCTTTATATTAAAATATACACTTGAAGGCAATCAAAGCAATTATGGTCAAATTTTTACATGAATGCACTATTTTGCTACATTATTGATAAATTTAACAACTACCCTGAATGTATTCTTTAAGTGATCCCCATGAAATTTCAACCATAACAAAACAAAAGCCTGCTTATAAGTAGGTTTTTTTTTAAATTCATTTTCAGCATAAACACCTTATTAAAATGTGAAACATGTACATAATGGAATGCAAGTACGTAATAAGTAATTTTTTGCAATTATACGTCATCATCCTTTTTTCTGATGTTAAAAATTGCCAAACTGATGATTGCACTAAGATACAAGTACCGAGAAAATTTCTTTTCATCAGTAAACGGTTTCCACCTACTGATATGCCCAGTATCATATAACAAAAGTCCTACATATATAAATAAATTCATGATTAGTAAGAATTAGCTTTATAGCAAATTTCTTTCTCTCTTTATTTTTTGAGTTAGAATCATATGTAAAAGAGACTTCAAATCCTGCATACAAATACTGTATACACCAAATATACATTAATACGATGACCTATTGTTTCCTTTACAGCAGAATACTGACCCTCAGAAAGATTTCTCGGAGTTGCGTTTCCTTTGTTTTTCCTCTTTCGTTATAAAATTGCAATCAGTAGTCTTAAGTCTATCAAAAGGCATACGATTTGTTTCACTTTAAAAGCTATTAAACGTTTAATATAACCTTTTGAAGTGCATGTAAATTAGTTCTATAAGCCATCCTAATTTAACAAAGCTCAACAGGCACTGCAAGTAGAAATTAAAACACTGATCAGTACTATTCATTACCTGCCTAACCTACACAAGAATCATCGGGCAAAGTACTATGTTGCCAAAGTAGGCAACCCAGAATTTCATGAAAGTGTATTCATCTAGCAACTAACACGTTATGCCAGACTTACTGCCAGGAGACAACCAAGAATGCTTTCACAGCTACTTTTTTGAAGTTTTGAAATTCCAGGATAAGAGTTGTGGTTTCTGTATCTTGGGATTAGACCATGGAGTTTTTTTTGTTATAATAAATCGTAATGCTGCTGTGTGCCTGTTATTGAAAAAGAAAGTATTGTGCTTACAGAAATATGGCATTTTGCCTACTAGTACAGAGTGTAGAAATAGGCATTCTAAAAAGTTAATTTGTACAATTAGTTAACATCATTTTAAGTTAAAATACACGGATATGTACTTGAAGTGCAATGCCAGTTTGTTCCACAGTGCTCTGATGTTTTTCAAGTTGCTTCTATTAGCTGTTGTGCACACACATAGAAGACCGAGAAATTTCAAAAAAAAAAATGCTTTATTATGGATGTTTGTTGTATTTATAACTTAATTTAGTACTGTTTTATGAAATTTTGAGTGCTTTGTGATACATGTTTGTTTATGCAATTTTTATTGTTGCATTATGGATGTTTCTTGCATTTTTAATTTTGTCAATTTGATGTTGTTTTATGTTATTTTCAGTGCACAGCCTCTTTTTTTTAAATAAGTAATATTTTTCACATTACATTAGTGAAAAGTTAGTAGCTAATGATTAGGAACTTTACAGGAGAGCTGGGCAGATAATGTTACAGTACCCATCATTCTTAATTTAATCCAATGGTGGGCACTTGCCTACTCAGCAATGGCCACTCCTAAGGCCAGAAATAATGGCCATTTTATTGTAAAGACACCTAACAGGCGGCCACCGTTGCCTCCTATGATGGAACGGACACTTACAACCATGCCTTCTCTGAGATTCGAACCCAAGCCCTTCAGTAAAGGCTCCCATAACCACTATACCAGAGGTAGGGAACCTTTTTACCATGACAGGTCACATTTAAATTTGGCAGTGATAAAGGAGGCTGATATACCTATAAATGAGACTTTTGTGAAATTATCTTACTTTTAGTATAGTTTTATTAATTTATTGCATTATACAGAAATAATGCAAAAAGATCAAGTCATTTCATTTATTAAAATAAAAATGTAACAATATAAAATAATATTAAGATATAAAAAACAAACATAGCAACAGTATGCAAAATAATGTTAAAATCCAATGAAAAATTTTATTTAGTGGGATATTTGCATTTGTTTCTTGCCTAAAGTAATTGAATATTTGGATCCAGCTTTGTAACTTGCAACCTTAGTAGGTTCTCTAAAATGAGCATCTATAATTTGCATTCTTAAACTAGTTTTAATTTTTGTCATGACAGAAAATGTTGGCTGGCAGCAGTAAGTACTTCCAAAGTAGGAAACTAAACGATGTGCATGCTTTCGTAAGCATGGATATTCAACAGCAATTTTCTAGATTTTTACGGGGTCCTTTTTAGCATCAAAAAGATTCGAGGGTACTCTCTTCCCACAACTCAAATAACTTCATTTGCAGTTTCATAGGAGCTTTGGATATATTTACTAAATGTGGTTCAAATGCTAGATTCATAGCAGAAGTGTGCTCATCAAAATCTGAAAAATC